CCCCCCCCCCCCCCCTTTCGAAGACTGGATATAAGACCATAAGACAAGCGGTGGAAATCAAGCCTAGAGAAAGTCAATATGACATTTTCACGCAGCTGGAAGGTTGATTTATTAGCAGAAGGGAGCTCCACGATAGAAACTCGTCATTATAAATTTTCGTTCTGCATTCTTTCAATACTGATAGCTTTTCCAAGATAAATAAAGATTCAATCACCTCTCACGTTTCTAAAGCACCATATGAAAGATTGTTCATAAAACTTTCGTTTATTTGCCACACTAAAAAACGAAATATATTTCATGAAATCTCTTCATCATGCAAGTGTTCCTTTCTCCAAGATTTCGGTATACAGGTTGAAAAACGGAAAAATATAATTCGTTAACAGAGCTTATAAATGTCCCTGTAATTTCCTAACAAGTGAGAGAATATTGCAAAATCTTTCACGAGAAAAATGCCTTCATTTCCTCTAAGCTGCGCCTATTATTCTACCAACTCCCTAACTCGTGGCGACTTCAGTAGCAACTACTTATACGAATTCAGACCCTGAGTTTAGCGTATTTTGATAGAAGCATCGTGAAACCAAAACAAAATCAATCACTACAGCCTTAAAAAGGGATCATTGACATGAAACAGAAGCATGTAAATACGGTTAAACTGTCCTAGGGGCTAGAAAACGCAATTGGCCAAGTTGTGATTGGTTTTTAGGTTTGTCTTTGGCTGTTTTAGAAGATGACAAGAGCAGTGAGCCAAAACAAAACGTCGTGAAGTAAAATCAAAACACCCTGTGCCATGGGGCGCCTTTCGATTGAGTTTGTAAAATAAAAGAACAAAGCAATCACAATAGCCAATCATAGAAAGGAAAATATCACGAGAAGCCAATGAGAACTCGAGGTAAAAACAAGCAAACTGTCTAAAGCGCGGGAAAACGCGAGTGACCAAATCACGATTGATTTCATTTTTGAATCTGATTGGCTGAAAAATTGGCACGAGCAAAATCAAATCAGTCTCGGATTACATTTGACACACAATTGAAAATTGCTCTAATGCTTTCGACGCTAACGAAAATTACTCTACACAAAAATGTCTAAAGTTTTTCAAATTCTTCGGAGCATGTTATCTTGAAGTGCTCGGTGAAGTATACAACGTCAGCTTCACTGGTGACCGGATTCTTCTTTACAGTGACTTGAATAGTATCCCACTTACCAATATGTTCCTCGACATCCGGAGGTGTCTTCAGATGTACAGTCAGGAAAACTCTATTACCAGTCCAAACATTCTGCACCGTCTTTCTGTACTTAACTTCAATTGCTTTTGCCGACGTGTTGGAATCTTTCAGGGTCGAGTTTACCATGACATCAAATACCTCGCCTGCAGCGCCAGTGTAGTCGATCACAAAATAGAGTCGTAAGGTTTTGCCACACTCTAAAGTATCATACTGCTGTGTGTTTTGCAGCTGAAGCAAAACGTTTTTTGCGTTTATGAATTTACGAGAGATCCTTTGGAAAGGCCGACCGGCCTTTGTTGTCCCAGACAGCTTGAGTTTGAAGGGCACTGCAGGGGGAACAAATGTACCTACCAGACTAGGTTTGGCTAGGTTGGCGTTCTGAATGACGCGTCCTGATCCATCGACGAGGGACAGTTGGAGGGATGAACGTTTTAAGCGTTTTTGTAGTGGAATTACCAGGCTTAGAGTTGACCTTTGATCTGGAATTTAAGGTGACGCAAAGCTGTAAGAATGATACGTGAATGTATTTATAAATATATATTGTCGCCACTAACTAACCTCCTTGACGCTTGCCTGCCTTCATAGCGGTGCAGCTGGTACAACTTGACGGACTGAATGTGTAGCTGCTTCCTTGTTTTCTTTCTAACAGACTAACTGATTCATTGTCTACCTCTCTGCCTGGCTTCTTTTACTTCTCGCCTCAACCCCAAACTGCTAGTCTTCCTGTTTGTATAACGACCAAACTATCTGACGAATTGTCCAACGAAATGGCCTGCGTGGCTGACTGACTGCAGGACCTGCAGGCTGACTGGCTGTTAGTGTCAGCCTGCCTGACGCATTGACTGACTGACTGAATTATTTAGTGACTGACTGAATGAATGGCTACCTGACTAAATAATGGCGTGTTTTCCCACATCCTCAAAGACCTACCTCGCTTACTCTATGTTAGCGTTAGTTAGTGCTCTTAGGTATAACAGTATTACTGGGAACAAGAGATAGAAAACTGTTTATCAGTTTTCTCTAGCTGTCCTGAACGCTTGCGAATTTGTAATATTTTTTCTATGTCAAATTTTAAGTCATTACAAGTTTAGTTAGGCAAAATCAGATTGCAGGGTCTATGTGGGCGGATTAACTCTGTGCATCATTTCAGCGTTCACTAACACTGCCATTTAACAAAACGTTCCGCAAGTTACTTACTTAATAATGGGTAATCTATTGGATACTCGTACCACCGCCTTCCAAGCCTCTTTCTTAGAAGGAAGAAGAAATCAAATTCCAAGTTCAGCCTGCTGGTTGCTTTGACCTTGAAAGAATGCGTCCCGACCGCAGTTGGCACAAACAGCTCCCACATCCCTAAGGTGGGGCTCTCGATCATCCACAACCCTCCCTGGGAAAGGTTTTCCGTTCGAGGTTGAGCAACCCCTTTAGGAGAGCGGAGCTCGACCAGATTGGCTCTAGCTGAGGCGAAGTATGTAACAATTAACGATTCTACAGTGTTGTCAACTGGAATTGTGTATCTCTTCTCTATATTGGAGTTGCGACGCGGAGAGGAACGTAAAGATCGTACTTCTCCCAAGCTTGATCGGCCCTCGTCGATAGTTGTTGTACCGTCCAAAGCTGCAGATACAACACCACCCATCTTCGATATCTGTCCGGAGGAATTGAACTGCAGTCCAAAGCCTCCAGTACTGTCCATGAGATCAATGAGGCTGTCGTGGTTGCGAAAGGAACCACAACGCCCAGATTCGGTACTATAGAAGAAGTTCACAGGTATCATGTACTGCAGGGCGAGGCCAATAGAGTTTTCCTGGGTGTACTTAGGCCTCTCACCGTCTTTGGCGCCAGCATCGGTGAATACGAACATGGGCGAGCCGACATAGGGGTCTCCATTCTCTATGGCGTCGATGACCCCGTTGAAAGTCAACTCAGGGCAATCCACACCTCCCTTAGCCGTCAGCTGGTCCAGGGCTTGCACGAACGACTGTTCATCAGGAAATCTCTGTGTGTTTCCCCAGGCTGTTTAAAATAAAATTGGGTTCGCAAAATAAATTAGGGGGTATAAAGGTGGTCGCTGTGAAATCATTAAGTGAGTACGATTGTGCTCCGATCGGTCAAAAACCGTTATACACTTAGCTAAATTATACACGTCTTCTCTGATTGGATCTTTCTTATGCTCAAGTAGATGAAGTCACTATTATCAACCTTTCGCCTCTTAATCCTTTAACTCCCATGAGTGACCAAGCCAGAATTTCTCCTCACAGTATCAATACAATATCAAGCAGACAAGAGTGAGAATAAAGAAAAACATCAGTCAGTGGATTATAAGTTGATCCAATACTAAATTCTCCAAACTAACATCACGAGAACTGTATGACAGACAGTAAGGAGAATTACTATTGAGATCTATGGGATCCTAAGTCTGATCATACCCTCTGCAATTAATGCAGTTGTAATTACAACTGCAATTAAATTTACAGACGCTGCCAGCAGAAGTGTGACAAAGTAGTCCTCATTTTAGTTTATTCACACCTCAAACCTGTACACTTACTTGGATCACTGAATGGCGACAGGATAAAATCTACCGAAGAATCCCTCGGATGAGCTGCAATAGCCTTAACGATTGTCTTTGCGGCTTCAATCTCGTCACCCATACTTCCTGTTGTATCAATGACGAAAACAAGTGATACATCGCCAGTGATTCCCAGCAGAATGTCAAATTCTGTTTTGCTTAAAACTTTACGAAGCTTTTTGAAAACATTTTCATGCGATTTGTTCTTCTTTCTACAGTGGCGCGGCAGGTCTTCTTTCCGGCATTTTCCTTGCTCCGGTGGACAGTGGCACTCAAACTGTTTTGATTGAAACAACAACAACAACAACAACAACAACAAACAATTAAAATTTAACTAAACGTTTGAACGTGTCCTTTAGTAGCATGTCGTAATGATGTGGGATATTGATCGAATGAAGCCTTTAAGTGCTACTGTGGTTCTTTCTCACTTTATTTACTCCGAGCTTTCGCCGTTCTACGGCATCATCAGGGAGCTCATCTCATCTCCCTGATGATGCCGTAGAACGGCGAAAGCTCGGAGTAAATAAAGTAAGAAAGAACCACAGTAGCACTTAAAGGCTTCATTCGATCAATATCCCACAATTAAAATTTAGGTTAACGGATATTTTCGAACGATAAAGCTCGATGCTTCATGTAACGCTAATTATTTATACTTAGAAATTAGATGTCACAATTATGCTCAAATCACATCACTGTTATGCTCCATTATAATTTGAAAAAGAACTCCTGAAATGCTTGAAGTACTGGGAGCCATGTTTTTCTTTTGGCTAATTTGTAACCAAGCCTAATCTTGAAATACCTGGTTAATTATTTGTCACCAGCGTGGTGTAAAAATGTTTAAACAAAGCGGTAAAAGGACTGGTGTCTCATAGAAAAATCTTATGGTTTTGTCAATTTTTTTTTATAAAACGCAAAGAGTCAAATCATAGAAATGTATATGAAATTCTTTATTTTTTTTTTTTAATTTTTATTCCAGCATAATGCTGGATTTTTTTGCCTCACTATTATGCTGAAAATCAGGCCGGTATATGTAGACAAATCCATGGATCATGGGTCATCAAATGAAGAACCGTATGAAATGACGGATATTTCCTAGAGGGTAGCAAAGTAATGTCCTAATCCTGTTTCATGCGCAAATTTTTAGAAAAAAAAACATGCGTCACGTATGTAAAGGGAACTTCAAATCACTCCACATGTATGCGACGATTCAGGGAAATCTTAAGGTTTTCCCGAAATTAAAGATTCACGGGTCACGTATATTTCAGGAGGCCAATCACGCCCCACGCTAGTTCATAAATTAACGAATCACGCACGCCTTTCTGTAAAATTCATGCGTCACACATCAACGTTGGCGATACGCATAAACTGTTTGCTAACTTTATACTATCATGAACACACACAGGTATCAACAAAGACAGGGATTAACATTAGCGGAGAAAGAACACAAGGAAACTCAAACATGCAGGAATGAACGCAAACAAAAATGAGCAAATTCGGAAATGAACGATGCAGGAAAAAAGCAGGAGTGACGAGTCGGGGCATGATGGGAACAGGATCTTATAGTCGGAATAATTATGAGGAACGAAATGCTACAATGACAGCGTGCCATAACACACCACGGTCATAAGCGACATGTACAATTTTGACCTCGTCGCCTGACGAAGACTAGGAATCGAAACGTTGCGATTACCACAACTGATTAGTCTGACTCTTGCATCGTGAAACACGATTAAATACACATTTATCTCTAGAACCACGGTGAACAAAAACATTTTCTATAACACGACTGGATTGTTTTAAATGACTGAATTGTTTTGAAAATGACCATCTCACCAGGTGACCTATCATCTGTCGTGCCTTTGGGATCTCTTTGTTCTTGACAGCTTTCTTGATGGTAGAATCCAAATCCATACTTCTTCCTCTTGTCGTCACCTTTGCCTCGGCCATACCTGGCAGAAGAGAAAAATCCGAAATCGGATAAGCGGAAATTTCAAAACAATATGAAAAAAAAAAGAAAAATCCGAACATTTATACTGCTTGTGACGATCGAAATACATGGTGCCCATGGACCGATTCTACCCACGCACTCCTGCAGTGTAATAACGCAATTACAAAATTACATTACATTTACACGCTGCTGATTAAAATTCTGTTGTTTTTACAAACTATTCTTAGTCCTCATTAATTGCAAATGTTTTATGCGAGAGAGAAAGAGACCTGAGAGCAACAAAAACCGCGAGCCTAAAGTCGAAGTTTTTACTAAACTAACATTTCTAAACAAGCATATTCGCGTGGGGAAATGGGAGTTTAAAGGGACGAATTCTGTTTTAGGTCATTTCTCGCAATCGCTCAGGAGACTTTGCGAAAGTTTCCGAAATCAGACTAAGCCTTGTGTCCAGTGCTCTCCTAAAAGAGATCGCAAATTTAAAAAAAATATGATAATTCATATAAACTCTTCTTCTTGCATCGAGGCAATGTGGAAATGTGTCAGTGAAGGCTATTGTACCACAAATTTTCCGCTTCAAGGCGCGAGCGATTAATTCGCAGACGTAGCTGGCGTCAGAAAAAAAAAAGCGTTCTCCAAGCCTGAGAGTCAGCAGACATAATATATTACCTGAGAGCAAAGTGTTTGAAAAATTCGTTACGACATACAAATCGCAGAGGTGTACAACTTATCTCAGTTTGTACGATCTTACCCCTGATGATCTGCATCGATGCTTCCAAATATTTGTTATTCCTAAGCGCTGGAACTGCACCAGAACTGCTTCGATGAAGTTTAACTGTGCTATCTTTGGTTAGATACTCTGCCGTTTCTTGGTCTAAGATCGAAAAAAAATCCCCAGCGCTTTCAGAAAAATCAAGTGAAAGTACTAAGGCAACGAGCACCGTAAAGGGCAGCAAAGTTGCTTTCTTCATGGCTAGGAGGGTTAAACTACCTGTTGAAACAAGGTAGGTAAGTTGATGAAGAATAACGTCTCGTGCGCTGACGGCGGTTTTTTAATAGAGTTTGAACGGAAGTGGATGAGATTTCAGAGGTCAATTAATGTTGTCATCGATCTTCTAATGTTTGGCGACGGCATTCGCCCACGTATGGGCTGTTTGTAAGATGAACTTGAGAAGTAGAGGCATTGTGAACTCAAAAAGAATTCAAACTTAGTTTACCCAATTTTTACTCATTCATTTAACGTCACTAATGTCTCCCTACATCAAAGTATTTCGCTATTTCCTCTTTTTCGAATGGGCTCATTAACCTAATCAGTCCTGTAATTTCAGTAATTACGCAAAGTGCTTCACCTCATCATAGCGGAAACTGTCACTGAAGCGTTTCTCGAAGTCAAACGGGTGTTACGTTCGGTTTCCTGTTTTTGTCTAAATCGTTCCCTTGAAACATGGTATTTCGATTCCAATGTCGCTAAACCTATGCACCAATTTGAATTCATAAACAACAAATGACTATTTCTTTCGTACACTGTTACTCCGATTTCCATCCACTGTAATTTCCCCCTTTCTACTGCAGAGTAAGCGGAAGAAAACATCTTCCGCGGTGAGATAATTTGAGTAAGGTGAAAATTACTTTCAGCGAAAAGGAAAGCTTGAACAAAAGAAAATAATCTGGAAGAATTAAATTAATTTTCGGTGTGATAGACAATTGTCAAAAAGGAAGGGCACCAGTTGTCAAGGATGGAGCAGACTGTTACGGATTGCAATTTATGGGCTTTGAAGATTCACAGTAAATTTACGATTCACAAACTGTTACTAAACTCCTCAATTGCATGAAGGATATGCTTCAGGGAACCCAATTGCTTCAGATATTAAAATCGCCTCAAAGGCCTGACAAACTGAGACATAAATTCAATCCTTCCCTGAACAGGAACTGGGTGTAACAAAATAAATTGTGTTGATTCAGAACGAACACTTCCTTCCGCATGTACCTTTGTTGTCTTGTGGTTGTTTCAGATTCTGAGAAAAACGCTTCTGGTTTCCTTTCAGCAATATCAGCAAAACTTTCATAAATTTTCATATTTAAACCTCTCTTAGGGTTTGTAGTAAAATGATGGCAAGCAGCGAAGTGGTAATGACTAGAAAAATTCAACTGTGTCCCGGCCTAGGAAGCGCTGTCGAAATTTGATTTGTTTTTATTTACAATGAGTGGGGGTGGAAGGGAAGGGGTAGAGAGG